CTGCGAGGGAAATACGGTAGGTGGATGATTGAGTTTGAAACTAAGATTTATATTTATTCTCAAATCATATGGGTTTTATTATGAATCTGGATAATTTTGTAACTAGCCACTTGTTGAAAACAAGACAAATGTTTGTATGGCGCATATGGTTTAAATTTATTAAAAAATAGACTTGGCTACCCACTTATGAAGTATTTATAATATTATATGGTAAATTTTAAATGTGCATCGGCCAATAAAAAAATTATTTACAACAAACCGTCATCAGCTATTTTTGTAAATAAACAACACATTTTCAGCTAAAATTTTTATCGTCTGTGCAAATATGGAAAAAACATACGATTTTCATTAAAAAAATCTCACTGAACATCCTGCATCATGTCAATGTCATTAGAAAATGAAAAAATTATAGCGACAACTTGGGCAAAAAGTATTACCACTGTTGAGAAATAACAGCGAGCGGCAGAATAAGTACTATAAAAAAATAGTGTTCAGTAAAACCGGAAGTTGAACAAATAAATGTGTTATTTTATTTCTGAAATCTATTCAAACTCCCACGATATTCTTTTTTATTTTTTTTTCCAAGTACCTAGATAAATTTCGTTAAAAAATAGAATTAAGGATTATTTTGTATATTTGTAAAAACCGAGATAACAGGGAACTGTGTCTATAGTATACATTTCAACCTAAATTAGTGTTTGGAAAAAAAGGGAAAACGCAGATAACACAGTTTAATCACATCGGCTAGATCACGCTGTTTCCGCAGCGAGGGTGTGCTTTGATTTAGCCGACCACGGCTTAATTCACCTAGTGCGGCAACATTAAAACAAGCTTAATAATGTTCGCATTAGCATATAATTACAACAGAAGATGTAATTAAATGTAAGCGGAGGAATGGTTGAAGCAATAAAAAAACTGTGACAAAGATAACGTAAACTCTTAAGCAGAATAATACGAGAACTATGCATTTCAAAGGTTTTGTTTATTAAAATTTTATATGAATTTTTGATTACACTGTTTTAGTTCCAACGGATTATTCTTTGAATCTTATTAAAAAAGCAAATTACACAATGCCACAAAGAAGGAAGTGAGCTGGACCGTAACCTAACCTAACATCAAGACACTCCTCTGAAAAGCGGTTTTCGAGATTTCAAACCGACTTGACAGTCGGTGGTTACAATAGTATATTGTACAATAAGTGCGGTAAGTTGTCTATTGCCCACGAGAGCGGAGTTGAGCGCAAGAACGAAGTGAGTGCGCTTATCCGCTCAAGTGGGCAAGAGACAACCGCACGAATTGCACATACTATTTTTTATTACGAATGCAATGAAAGAGTCCAGGGGCGAAGCCCCGGTGGGGTCCACATATTTTTATTCAATTTAAGTGATCAATAACTGTCATTTAAATGTCACTTTTTAAAGATAATATTTTCGAGTGTGTAGGTATTTAAATTTTGCGTGTTTTATTGGCAATTCGCGTGCGACAAGTAAGATTACCGCACGCAAATAGAGTGGGCAAACAGCTAGTTACCGACCTAAAAAATATGCGAAAAGATAGGACTTATCCGTCATGAGTAATAGAAAAAATATTACAATTCATGATCTTATTGCACCAAAACTTCATAACCCCGGAGCTTTATAATCCCGTAATTTCATAACCCGGAATGTGCGAGAGTGTAGAACCATGTAATTTTGTGAAAACATGAATCTCATGTGTGTTGGCAGGCTTTCATAACCCAACAATGCCGTAACTACAAGATGTACGTATAACCACGAAGCTGAGAAATTGACCTTATAGTTCTGTTGTAAATCCGTAATTTTGAAAAAATTTATTTTAGGATAGATGGGTTATTATGTGAAGAATATACATGAGTTTCTTTCGAGGTAGAGCGAAAGGACGGGGCAGGATGTGGAATATATTCTAGATCCTTGCATATCCGATATCAGTGGGCAATGGATAAGCATGCTACCGTAGTACAAACGGAATTAGCAGGTATAACCACAGCCTCTAAAGAAATCGCCCGTAGGCATACCTGCGGGTAAAATCATTAGAATATACACAGATAGTAGCCAAGCACTATTGATCTTACGTAATCATAATGACTAGGTCAGTATGGGAATGCCACCAAGCACTGGTCGTGGCCTCAGCTTCCAACAGCATATCTATATGCTGGGTTAAGGGACACAAGCGCTGGTAATAAAGAAGCTGACAAGCTACTCAGGAGTGCATCGGGATTCAATATTTTTGGATCCGGTGCCTCCAGTGTGCTTCCACTGTCAGCGCTCGATGAAATTATCAAGGGAAACACCCACAAAGAATTTATGAAACAGTGGGATGAAACAAATAGCTGTCATTTTGCTAAGGAGTTCTTAGAATACCTTAGCAAGGATACAGCCAAAAAGTACCTGGCCATGTCTAGGTCAAATCTAGGTATTCAAACTGGACACTGTTGGCTAAGGAAGCATCTTTATAACATGAGAAAGTGTGAAAGGGTTGTGAACAAGAAGACGAGACAGTATTATAAGTGCTATGCGAATTCACTGCCGCCTTGGCAAAAGAGAATCCATGTTGGGAGAGCGTTGGCCTTCTATGGCCTATATTAGAGAGATCCCCCTGAGCAACGTTACCACCTTTTTCTCTGTAAACGGTTCAGGTGGATTGATCTTCTAATGAGAGGAAGTATAAGGGGCCCAATGGGGCATAAGTGCTGTAGCTTTTTAAGCTACTATCCCTAGAATTGCAGACTCCAGATTCCAGGGAGAGCGAACCACTTGCAGCGAGTTGCAAGAGTGCTTATTGTAACGCGTGATAACGGGCGCGATGGTTAGGTACATTGGTATAGAGACCATATTGAGTTTCAGATAAAGCCGAAAAGAAGAGGATGAAGAAAATGTCAATATAGAAGGCCAATTTACAAGCTGCAGTCACCGTTTTCCGAGAAGCCACTTTTTTTTAACTGACCGAAGTACGTAGAGATTCACAATAACATAACTCAGGCAACATCATATAGATTTTTTGATTGATTAACAATTTTCATTTAATTTAAAATTTTAATTTAATCTTTTTCCGATACTTTTTTTTGAATGTGACTGACTGAATTCGGATCAGGGACCTAGCCTAATTTTCTGTGTAGCGCGCTGTTATTATTTCGCAAACAAAATTATTAAGTGATTCAGTTAATATACGTACCTAATTCAATTTTTATCTATTCATTTTTATACTTAGTTTTCTCGAATTCACTTTGTACTTTTTACATCTTTAAAGTACTTATCTATATTTTTAAAGTTGCATATTTTTATTAGTTTACTGTAAAGGTAAACAGCCGATTCAATTAATTTCAAAAAATTTTCCGAAATTCCCATCATTCCCGTAGTACACGTGCTAGCGGTATTCCAGGAACCGCAGTCTGAAAATTTTTATTCAGGAAATTTTGTTTTTGTGGAAAGCAAGATATACCTACCTATCTCTAGAACAGTAAGTCATAGGGAAAGTACCTAAGAACATATCAAAAAGTAATAAAACAAGGGATTCGAACGGTAGAACAGTTCAGGGTGGTTCAACTAAAATAAGGAAGATTTTAAGTTGCCCAAGTTGACGCAATTTTGAACTCCTTGTATTAGATATACAATTGTATATTTCTTATCCACACCAAATCTATAAGAGCATTTTTGCAGAAGTGTAGATAATTTGAAAACGGCACCATGCCATTCATACATCATTTCAGTGTTAATGGTATTATGACTATATTGATTAACAATATTTATACTGAGTAAGTACTGGTTAGATATCCATCCTGGTTAATGAATAGAGCTGACGTTCGATCGCGTGGCATACTGGCTCCACAGTGGTCCTGCAGGGATCTTTTCCTTGGTCTCTCCGTAGTCTGGGATTGATTAGACCTGTATTGGTATCTCGACTGGCTAGTCTGTACTTTAGTTAATCTTATTGTCGCTTGCCCCAGCTCGAATTTCGCTATGTTTGGAAAACATTTTATTTCCCAAAATTAGCAACTGAGGTGGTTTTCTTTTTATTATTGATTATTATTATAAATTACAACTACATATTTGATATGGAATGTCTGTAATTTCATATGTTCAGATTTTATGAAAACTTTTTGAACTAATTGACTTAGTACTTTATGTAAATAGTATTCATGTATAATAAACGTTTATCAAATAAGATGTACCTATGTTAAGATCCATGTCCAGCTACTTCAAAAATACCTCAGTATGAAATTTCATTGGAATAACTAATAATTTAAATTGTGATTGAATTACTTTAAAAAAGATAATTTTGTTTGAATGCTTTTTAAGTAAAATTATATTAAAGTAACGTGATTATGTCGGTTTACTTGTATCCACGGAAGTTACTCTTGAGGTATGACGGATGACCTATTTGTTTACGAACACTTTGTATAAGGTTTCATAAATTTTATTTAAAATTACTACCATTTTCAGTTTAACTTCAGTAAACATAAACATAAACCTAAATGACATAGCTAAAATAAAATAAAAATTAAATTTTTATTCATTTTCATTTGAAATAAATAAATTTGTTTTTTTTTCGGCAATAAACGACTGCTGTATATCACTGAAATAACCATTCAATCTCGACTGGCTAATAATAACTGAAAATTAGTTCCTTTAATTTTATAAAAACTTCAAATTACAGCCTAAAGTTAAAAGTGATCCGTATAAAGCAAGATATTAGTGAATGAATTGTTATAAAAAATTAATTTTCTACTACCCATCCAAACCTGTAGTTAATATATTTTTAACTATTTTTTTATGATCGTGAAAATGTAATAATAATTCGATTTTAAAGAAATTATTACCTTATTACTTACGAAGCACTAAAAAGCTGCAAGCAAAAAGCATACAAAAAACCCTTAAATCCCAAAACATGCAAAAAGTGTACATGCATCAATTAGCTAAATACTCATGCCATTACCAAATAGGTATCAATTCGATACCACTGATTGGTTCGAGACCACCACTTACATATATACTTCCCGCTGGCATCTGGAATTGCACCCCAAAAAACAAAAACATTAATTATTACAGCCCCAAAAAACGGAGGCTTTAAAATATGCCATATACCTCTAAAAAAATGTATATGGAGAATGTACAAGATACTATAAAATGCTAGATGAGAAAAATTTAACAAACAAAAGCCTCCTTAGCTTGATCGATGGCACTACAATCATTAAAAACGGCAATGTTTATTAAAATTTGTCTAATAAAAACGTTAATTACACAATTAAGGAAAATGAAACAACTACAATGTCAGTACCATCGGTAAAAAATAGATACAAGTACAACGCTGCAAAACTGTCACAAGTCTAAAACTAAACTAATAAGTGTTTTTACAACACTGAACTAATATATTTATGTAATAATATATGTAGACACTTTTGTTCAAAATATATGTATACCTCTTTTTCCGTCAGTTTCGACTTGTTCACAGTCATCGTCATAATTTGATACTGGGCATTTGAAAAGGGCCCCGGAATGATTCGATCCAGGTTGCAGGTTCTGGCCAAGTGGTGCCCCCACCAGAAGCCTGGAATAAAAAAAAATGTGTAAAAAGCAAGTTTAACAAGTAATGAATTATTTATACAGTTTTTAAATGTTTAGAGAAAAAAGTACCGAAATAGCCTAAATAACAGATGAATTAAAAACATCGGGTAAGTTTGTAGTATTTCTATTATTAACTATACCTACATCAAGAATACCTTTAGTGCAGAAAGTTTCGTTAATAGTCTACTACTAACTTGCCATTAAACATTATTAAATACTTTTATATACAGGATGTCCGGAAAGCTCATGTCAAAAATGAATGAGTATACAGGGGAGCTCAAAATTGCTGTGGTACGTCATAAAAAATTTTTTCCTATCGAGCTTCGTTGTGGAGTTATTGGCCTTCAAGAAAGAAGTTTCAAAAATAAATTCCAACTTCTATGTGGTTACCATGACAACAATGAAATTTGGGCAATTAAAGTAACTCATGGTAATGTTCATTTCCAAGTTTAAACTGATATTCAATATGCCTGGATTATACATTTTTCTTTCATAGTTCGATTCCTCTCTCACTTTGCTAAAAAAAAGGTATACCGTATATCACTCGATATCTTGCACCATTTCTGAGAAAATCGAATTTTGTTAACAACATACTTTACTGTATCAAAAATGTGATACTTAACATGTTTGTAAAACTCTTGGTTTCTATAGAATTAAAAGAAAAAAGAGAACTGTTAAGTAAGATGTTCAATATGTGCACTTTGAATTTCAACGCATTTTCTAAAATTGCTCAAACACCCCTGCTGTACTCAAAATAATATGCGATAATTTCTAATGATGTCGGCGTATGTAATTATGCGATTTCTTCCCTACTATTTATAGGAGTTTGATAAACAAGATTTTTAAGATAGCCCCAAAGAAAAAAACCGAGAGGATTAAGATCGGGAGATCGAGGCAGCCACGAAAAACGACTACCACGACCGATCCATCGATCGGGAAATGTGGTATTTAAAAAAGCCCTTACTGCCCTGTTAAAATGGGGTGGTGCACCATCGGGCATAAGCCAAATGTTATTTCAAATATTTAAAGGGTCGTCCAATAACGGGTTAAGGTGTTCTTGCAGTAAATGTAGGTATTTATCTCCATTTAAAGCGATAATATGATATGTGGTCCCACTAAGTAGTTTCCAATTCAGATATTTCCATCCATATATTAATGATAAATTTTTGTTAGTGTTTTGTCTGAAGCATGGGGGTTTTCGTCACTTCAAATATGTAAATGTAAATTCTATTAAAGCAGTTGGAGTAAATCCCAACAGCTTCAGGAGCATTACATTCTGCAATTTCATACATTTGATGAATATCTGCAAATTCTTCATAGCTAAAATTCTCCATGATATTGAATCAACAAATGATGTCAAAATGATTTATGACAATAGTACATTGTGTAACGAGTGGGGAAAAGTTGCCAATAGCGCCACGCGGACGCAGTTGAAGCACGAGCGAAGCGAGTGCGGAAAGCGCCCAAGTGGCGCTATGGCAACTTTTCCGAACGAGTTGCACATACTATTTTCTATCACAACGCTGGAGCGTTGCGCTATGAAAATAACATCACGCTGTTGTACTATCTAGCACTTTCCGTGCACCTAACCCCCTACACTATAGGTTCCATAGCGAGCGCGCGTGATAGAAATATCTAAGTAATTGCTAATGATACATACTTATTGACTGTCATCTCAATTTCCAAGATTTTTTTATTTTTTCCAAAATTCGATTTTTTCAAAAACAGTACAAGATATCGACTGATATACGGTATACCTTTTTTTAGCAAAGTGAGAGAGGAATCGAACTATGAAAGAAAAATGTCAAATTTGGCAACGCTATCAAACCTGTATAATTCACGCAGATTATTATGATTATATAATTCATTAGAAATTTAGCTAATAGCAATTACAAATTTTACGTAGTTACTATGTATTGATAAGCGATTATACTCTTGACGACGTGGTATAACCGTTTTGGTGTTTCGCCTCCTCCAACAATGTGAACTATGTCATGGTAACGATAGTTTTAACATTTGTCAATAAACGTCAAAAAAAAATGGAACTAGTAACCAATAAAGTTAGTTAATTCATTATGTAATCGTATCGTATACCACTCGAGCAAACGAAAATAATCGATTATACTAATCTCCTCACTCGACGTATATCCTTAAAACACCACTCCAGCTACGCTGTCGTGGTGTTTCGCAGAATACGTCTCGTGACTCGGAAGTATAATCGAATATTTTCTATGCTCTTGTGATATTATAACTGATTATTTTATTCAAATGATTTAATTCAGATTATTTTAATTAATAATTTTAATAAATGAGATCCAGAAAATATAAATTTGTATTGCACTGGTGATAAATATTTAAAAGCATGTAATATAATGCGCCAATAATAGGTAGCCAATTTTGGGTGGGATTGCCAGATACAATGATAGAAAAGATATAATGATAGGAAAAAAGAAACTACCTCGTGCGCTTTTTTCGAACTAAATTTGGTAGCTTTTTCTGTTTTTTAATTTTACATTATTAGTCACTGTTATATTTTTGTTAATATTTATTTAAGAAATATGTGAAATAAGGATTAACAGTCTTAAAAAGTTATTCATTTTCTATTAAGTTTCTAAAGATGCGTATGCACCAAAGCAACATAGAGCAAATTTTGTGTTTCTGTCGCGTGTTTACAAAAATGTTGCAGTAAGTTCCACTGTGTTGCCCATTGTTGCCGGGACAAAACTAAAAAGTTGCTCTATGTTGAGTATTTCCCTTGGAAGCGGCAAACATCAAAGAAAAAGTGGTAACAAGAGTCAACAAGTTTCAGCTGCCGTCGGTGGAAATGGGCTGTCGTTCTTTGCTGTAGTTTGCGATTGAACACATCCGAATTATGGCGGAATTTAAGTGGACTAATGTCTTTTGAATATTATTAATTGAAACAAACCGAAATTTAGTGTGTCTTTTTAACCCAAAAGATCAAACATATAAATGCAGTTTAAAAAAATAATGTTCGGTTATTTTCTGAACAGACCTCGTATTCACAGTAAATTGTTGAAGTGGGGAGACTTAAGGCTGTAGCACAGTAGATCTGAATAAAATCCAATCAATAACATACTGAAATTTCTAGGTGAAATGGAGTCTACGCAATTCGCTTTATTTATTCTAAAATACCAAATATGGACAGTTTGTTAAGTTAACAAGACTATTAATCTCCAAATACCTTTATAATGGTTATGTCGGTGTAACTGTTGGACCTTATTTGGATATCTAATAGCCTCAACTAATACAAATATTGTAACGAATGCAGCTTTTAATTTAAAACTGGTTTTAGTATATTTTTGTCCTGTCGCAAATAGAAACTAACAATGTATTAGGTTTAAATAATTTTTAATTTTTGAAAATTTAGTACGATAGGGTGCCGAAAAAGTTCTGTCAATTTTTTGATATACATATTGCAACAGGTAACAATACTGCATAAACAAATGAATCCACTCAACTAAAAAGTTATAACTTATATTAATTCAATAACAGTGAATTAAAACAAAAACATTTACAACGAATGTTCAAAATTACCTTCTGTGGCTTCAGTACATTTATGTAATTGCTTTCGAAAACTTACAACGATGGTCGCACACTCTTCTATTGTAATTTCGTCCCAGGTAAGTACGTCTTTTTCAGCTGGTTCACTGTAGCGGATGATGGACCATACCGAGTAATTCAATGGGTTGAAATCGGTTGAGTTCGACGGGTAAACGTCCTTATCCCAAAAGCCAGACCGCAACCGTTAACTGGGCCAAATGAGCCGGACCTCAGTCCTGCTAGAGCATGAATCCACCATGGATCGAAACATTCAGGAAGATGATACGCTAGACAGTGGAGTAGCTGAAAGCGACGATGACGTGTGCCTGGGACGAAATTAGACTAGAAGAGTGTGCGACCATCCTTGGAAAACTTCGAAAGCGATTACGTAAATGTATTAAAGCCAAATAATGCAATTTTGAACATTTGTTGCAAATGTTTTTGTTTTAATTCACTGTTATTGAATTAATAAAAGTTATTAGTAGTTTAGTTGTGTGGTTTCATTTGTTTATGCATTATTGCTAAACTCATGGAGACTACACAAGGAGCCCGAACTCCATGTAAACAAAAATCTTACAAAAATAAGAGGGCGCTAGTGTTCCATATGTAGAGAGGCGAGATAAAAAAGCGGCAGTTTGAATTATAAATCAATCATGTCATTTTTGTGATGTGTTAAAAATTTTAAAATAAATAATGTTAAGCTACTTTGAATTATATAAATCATGAAAATATGTCATTCCGGACTGTAATTAAACCAAATAGATAATAAAAAATATTAGCTTTACGAGAATAATTTGGTGTTCGTAGAAAGAAACTAGTTTTCAAGGAATTTATGACGTGATTTTGTTAATATGTAAGGTTTGTGTTTTTGATAATTACTTTGTTAACGATTTTAGTTTAATGTAAGTAAAAAATAGTCACATTTTATACAGGAAGTTCCCTTTAAAACAATAGTAATTCTTGTATTATTAATATGAAATTTTTACTTGTGGTAATAAAAAATAGAATATAAAAAAACTCGGTATTTTAGATAAACTTTTTAAAATATTACAGATGTCCGATTTTGAGTCCAGTGATTCAGATGGCTTATTAGACGCATTGTCCAGCTTGAGTGTTGATAAAATAGATTTACTCTAGAAACAGAAAGAGTAAAAAATAAGAACTACTTTGAAATTACTGTACCTGAATATAGTGGCCAAGTTTTTTTAACATTTCCGTGTTAGCATCAGGGAAGTAGCTAACAGAATTGAAGAAAATTTTGCCATTTCTAATTATTTCACCCATGATTCTGGTAAATTTTGCATTGCCTTANCAACAAGTTTCAGCTGCCGTCGGTGGAAATGGGCTGTCGTTCTTTGCTGTAGTTTGCGATTGAACACATCCGAATTATGGCGGAATTTAAGTGGACTAATGTCTTTTGAATATTATTAATTGAAACAAACCGAAATTTAGTGTGTCTTTTTAACCCAAAAGATCAAACATATAAATGCAGTTTAAAAAAATAATGTTCGGTTATTTTCTGAACAGACCTCGTATTCACAGTAAATTGTTGAAGTGGGGAGACTTAAGGCTGTAGCACAGTAGATCTGAATAAAATCCAATCAATAACATACTGAAATTTATAGGTGAAATGGAGTCTACGCAATTCGCTTTATTTATTCTAAAATACCAAATATGGACAGTTTGTTAAGTTAACAAGACTATTAATCTCCAAATACCTTTATAATGGTTATGTCGGTGTAACTGTTGGACCTTATTTGGATATCTAATAGCCTCAACTAATACAAATATTGTAACGAATGCAGCTTTTAATTTAAAACTGGTTTTAGTATATTTCTGTCCTGTCGCAAATAGAAACTAACAATGTATTAGGTTTAAATAATTTTTAATTTTAGAAAATTAAGTACGATAGGGTGCCGAAAAAGTTCTGTCAATTTTTTGATATACATATTGCAACAGGTAACAATACTGCATAAACAAATGAATCCACTCAACTAAAAAGTTATAACTTATATTAATTCAATAACAGTGAATTAAAACAAAAACATTTACAACGAATGTTCAAAATTACCTTCTGTGGCTTCAGTACATTTATGTAATTGCTTTCGAAAACTTACGATGGTCGCACACTTTTTTATTGTAATTTCGTCCCAGGTAAGTACGTCTTTTTCAGCTGGTTCACTGTAGCGGCGAGTGCGTAATTCTATGAGTGCGTAATTGCATTACACCACGTATTACGTACTATACTTTACCTACGACCACTACTGTAAATACTTAAAAACACATCGTCTGCGATCAATGTAAGATTCCTCTATTACGTACGGTAAAAAAATCGTACAGCTTGGTAAAAAAATCTTACAGTTTTCCTAGCAACCACCTAGCAACGGTGAATACAAACAGTATTGTTTCATTCCCCTTCCTTTTCTACTTCCGCCATGTTCGTCTTTTCTTTCATTTTCTCTGGGCATACAAATAGCCCGAGAGCCAGCGACCTTTTTCGATGACTAATAGTGCAAAAGCTGAAAAGTTTTCCTACGCTTCATTTGGTGTCACTAGTAAGAGAATCGACCTCCAGCTCGCGCACTTCCGGGGGGTATAGTTGCAGCAGCCTCCCAAACACGTAAAATAATAAAATAAAAAAACTAATACCGCAAAAGCTGAGACTTTGTTGACAAGTTAATTATGTTATAAACAAAAGAAAAAACGCAATCCGCTGACTTTAGAGTGGGGGTTATGTCTCAGCTTTTCACCTAAACAAGTCAAAAATATGCGCTAGGTAAACTGATACCGCAAAAGCTGAAATTTGGTAAAGTAATAGTCAACTTAACCAGTTATACGAAAAAAATGGTCCGCTGAAGTTTTTGTGGTGTATAAGTGCTCAGCTGACGAGTTGAAGCTGCAGCACATCCCTATACGCGCGGGCGCATTGCATCTTTCACTTTATCAGTTGAGCACTTTTCCCTCACTAAATATAAAGCTGAGTATTTTTTTCATTTAACTTATTAAATTAGCTATTGTATTAACAAGTTTCAGCTTTTGCAGTATGAGCCTTACTAGTAATTATATAAAAATATACAACTTTTTTCGAATATTTATTTACAATTAACGTTATACATATATGAAAATATTTATATCTATTTCATCTTCCGATTCATCACCCTCAAACTCATGGTCGCTAGAGTCAATGTCGATTTCTGACATTTCTTCCTCATCATCTGTAAATATGTACTAATAATGGTAATAATAATAACCACTGTAGGTCGAGCATGCCGTGGCAGGCATTTCTCGGTCAGACTTCCTATTCTGGTCCGGGTTCGATACCTGGTGTCAGCACTGGCAATGTCGATGGATAAAGGGTGTTTGTCCGCGTTTTTTTCAATTGTAACCCCCTTCCGCACAGCCTCTGGCTTTGGATTTGGGGGTTGTCTCATTTCTGTGGTGTGTTTTATGTTATATTATTAAAAAAACGTTAATTATAAAAATAATTACATATAGTACGAATATTTTTAAATTGTATTTTATGTAAATTAAATAATCAAAAATTTACACTTAAATAATGAAATTTTATTATACAGCGAAATATATTAGTATAATTCTAACCTGTACTATTTCTTTGTTCATCCTCGATAATTATATCTCCAAGGGAAGAGNTCATCGTAACTTAATTGCTATTGATTTACTTGCTGTTCTTGTTCTTGTTGTTGTTGTTGTAACTGTTGCTCTTGTTGTAGCTGCTGCACCTGTTGTTGCTGGTGTAACGGATGCTCTTGCTGTTGATGCTGCTGCAAGATATATAAAGAAACAATCCATCATTCAATAATTTATACAATATTTTCACTTTTTTAAGAATCAAAGAAGCTGCTTCAAACTTCCGAATTATTCGACCTTTTGCCATAATATTAACACACTATTCGGTCAAGTTATAACTGGACATCATTAGATTGAAAATGCAGATCACAAACGTACTGCTTTATTTTAAATCTGTTGACACTTCACGTACTATTACCATATTTAAATTATTTTCGAAACTTTTTATTTACCATTATAAAAACAAATTGTAATAATTCTTGACTTGACTTCTAGTTTTTAGTTAGTATACCTCTCCGATATATCTACTAAACTCAATATAAAATAAAATTTGTTATTTGCTTACTTCACTCGTATTTATTATGCTACATTCATTTGGGACATATGGAACACTAGCGCCACCCCAACTTCTGCCATTTCTTGGACAAATTTTGTCAATTTTCCCGTACGAGCTCGTGCTCCTTGTCTAGTCTCCCTGGTTAAACTGCTAAAATATCTCAATTAACAATTGACAGAACTTTTCACGCACCCGCATAAAATATGTTTAATATATCCATGTGATTTATTTCAGAGAACATTTTCCTTTCGTTTACCTATCTTTCTACATCTTCCGATTTGGCCACTATTTTTATTCCTCTTTCAAGTCTTACCCCTACGTTTCATTCCCCTTCCTCTTCTACTTCCGCCCTGTTCGTCTTTTCTTTCATTTTCTCTGGGCATACAAAGTTTCCTTCTCCATTGCGTCCACTTAGACCAACATTTTGCAAAGCGAACGTGATTTTTATTTTTGTCGTACAATAACATTTCGAAAGCAACTTTTCATTATTTTAAATAATCAATCGAATGGCACAGAAAAAAATTTGTTTCAGTGTTAAATCATAAAAATTAACTATTAAAAAATTGACATTGTTATAACTTTTTTATTAAAAATTATATATCTATTTCCCTGAAAAGAAAGTACATTTTTTAGAGTAGATTAAAAAATATATATAAAATTCATTAATTTTTTAAATTTCTGAAATCATTCCCTAAATTCTAATCTCCCTAACTCTATTAATTTTAATAGTACAAGAAAAAGTCAATAGACCATTTTTATGCAGAATTTTATGTTCTACAATTTTTATAAGAAACTTCTTTTCTAATTCTTACTTACCACTTATCTTGAAAAATAATTACTATCACCATAATTGCGATTTAAAGGCCCATTTGATTGGACTATATACGTTTTGTTCATCCCCGACATTACCTACCCGTCGGGTAAAATTGTTCTGAACAAAATAGTTACATAATTGAGGTGTATGGTCGTCTACAGTTTTTGTTTAGAACAATTTTACTTGATGGGCAAAATTGTCGAAGTTGAACGAAGTGTGTGGAGTCTCTAACAAGTGCTTACAACAAATTAGCATATGTGTATCGTTTTATAGAAACTATTGTCGCTGTCTCAAGTTCACACTGTTCTACTGCCATGGGTATCATTGTTCTTTAAAGCTATAACACTAAAGCTTCAATTTCTGAATGAAATCTAATCAGTAACATAATACACCTTGTATTAGTTTATAAGGTCTATGAGTAACATGTGAATTTAGTAGTGGAAATCATTGATTCTAACGATTAAATTAATTTCGACCCAATTTACTTTATTCACTTAAAAATACGAAATATGGGCAGTTTATGAACCAAACAATATTCAATAACTTACAAATCTCTTTATAATAATCAAGTCGAACTGTTAGATGCGCACATTTAATATATTGTATTAAATACAAATGCTATAACGAATGCGACTTAATTTGGAATTGGTTTTAATATACGCCTGTCACAAATAGAAACTGACAACAAAGATTTAAATAATTTTCTATTTCTGAAAATTAAGTACATTTACGATACGATTTAATATGTCCACTCAAATTTATTACAAAGGACACTTCCCTCTTCCCTTTCGTTTACCTCTTGTCTTTCCTCGCTTTCTACGTTTTTTACTTCGTCCTCTCTTTCTACTTCTACCCTTACGCTTCCTCTTTCTTCCTTTTCTCCTCCGCTTGCCTCTACCCTTCCGTGCTTTTCCTTTTCCTTTTCCTTTACCTTTTCTATGGGCACAAGCCTCCCTGTAGAATTTCCTCCTCTCCATTTCGTTCATTTTGCACCAACATTTTGCTCCTTCTATCGCGATTTTGCATGCCGGCCAGCCACAGTGTTTCCTTCGGAATACTCTCAGATAGTTCAAGAATGGGTTAGCGGTTTTTGGTCCTGGTCGGGCACATCTTTTCTTTTTGGAACGACCTTTCCTTTTCTTTCCGCGCGTTCTCTTGCGCGTTCTTCCACGTTTTCTCCTGCGGCTGCGGCGGGACTTCCGACGTTTACCAGACCGCCGTCTTCCTCTCCTCTTCCTACTTCTGCTGCGTTTTCGTTTACCACCACCTAGCTTCTTGCAGTAAACTGCGGGAGCCAATCGACAACATCCCGATTTTGATCGGGACCTACAGTTACTCAGGGACATTATACAATGAATTTAGAGAGTTAGCTGCTAATCTAGCATTTTAAATTTTTCATTTATACTTTCATTGTGAATTTTGAAAATTTATGACAGTAATAAACAAATTTGTCATAACTACCAATTTTGTTTCGAAATAATGTCCATTAATCTTTTTGATATATTAATCCTATTAGTACTGAATTGGGTTCATTAAAACTTTTGAACTGGAATTGTATTCACAATTTTTTGTTTCAAGACAAATTACTGCCAAATGGATGTCAATTATCATCATAATTTGATTAACTAATACATATAGTTAAAACATCAGTTTCAAATAATTCAGCGATGCCGAGACGAATTTTGACGTTTATTTGATCACTCAAATTTTAATTAATCAAATAGTTCACTGAATATGACATTAGTATCATTCCTATCTTGACGCTTTGCTTTTCTGTAAATACGCTTTAATTTTTAACATAACTAATGAAATCATGACGGTGTGTATAAGATCTCTTTATAAATGTTTCTTTGATCGTTGCTTTCTACTAGTTCATGGACAAACTTATTTTTATTTAAAAAGTAACATTGTGAGTTTTACAATTAAGTAGATGAATTATGTGAAAATCACGATGATGTGTGCAAGGCAGCTGAATCAAGTGCAGGCAAATACCGGTAAAACATATAACGGTACACCGGTATACCGGTACAAAAAAACGTAAACAAACCTTAGAGTAAAAGTCATGTAAAAGATTTCTTAAATTTTTTTATGAGTGAAATATTTGTGAAAACTAAATATGGTGCAATCGTGTTCAACGATCTATTGCATATAAAGACGATTAAGTGGAAAAAAATAAATTTCATAGGTAGGAAAGAGGTTATGAGTACCAATATGTTCATACTTTTCGGATGTTTCTGAAAATAATGACCAAGTAAAGTTTAGTAACTTATTAGATTATTTCCGCCTTCCTCAAAATAAGGTGAGATTTACAACTTACAAAATGAGGAAAAAAATATAGAAATACATAAAAAATGCATTTATATAATCTATTTGGAATATTACATCTAAAACAATTCAAGTGTTGTTCTGCGTAATTAGTACAGTAATACAGGGTGTTAAAAAAAGAGTGTAAAATATTTCAGGAGGTAATAGTATGAACCAAAATAAGCAGAAAAGTCTTAATAAACATGGGTCCGCAAAGTAACGGTTGCGGAGATATGGACCACTATTCGTTTTTCAAACATTTTATTTTATTAGGAATAAACCGACAAAGGAAGCTTTTAACAAACAAAAAACAAAGTTACAGAAGATGTTCAAAGTGCCCTCCGTCCATTTCCAAGCAGGCACGACATCTTCGTCTCAACGATATTCGAACTCTTTCGAAAACACCCTCCTTGGTTTGGATTTCTTGACACTTTTGATTAATCCGTAGCTGCAGCTCTTCCAGGCTATTTACAGGAGTACCATACACTAATGTCTTCAAATATCCCCAAACAAAGAAATCTAGAGGGTTCAGATCAGGCGATCTTGGAGGCCATAAAACAGGTCCGGCCCTTCCTACCCATCTATGTGGAAAAGTTTGGTGTAAATGCTCTCTAACGGCCATGGAAAAATGAGCTGGAGCACCATCATGCTGGAACCACATTTGTTGCCTCTGATTCAAAGGAATGTCTTCCAAAAACTCATACAGTGTGTTCTGCAGAAAGTTGAGGTAAGCAGCGCCTGTTAATCGGTTTGGTAAAACAACAGGACCTAGAAACCTGTCACCTACAATACCCATCCAAATGTTTAATGAAAAACGTGCCTGATGTCCAGATTCTATTAGAGCATGAGGATTTTCGTCGGCCCAAATATGCGTATTGTGAAAATTAAACACTCCATTTCTTGTGAACCCGGCCTCATCAGTAAAAAGAATGTTTGCAAGAAAACGAGGGTCTTCAGCATCATGACGTAGAAACCAGCGGCAAAAAACCAAACGTGCTTGATGATCATTTATTGGATTTAAGGCCTGTACTCGTTGCACATGGTATGGATAAAGCAGTTGCTCGTGAAGGATTCTCCAAACAAGAGGACCACTAATTCCTACCTCGGCTGATATTCTCCGCACACTCGTACCTGGATTCTGCTCTACCAGTGCTAGAATTTCTTCTTCTGCTCTAGGAGTGGATACCGACCTTGGTCTTCCGGATAAATGGCACTGTTTGCTCAAGGAACCGGTATCACGCAATCTTTGGTGAATTCTTCCAAACATGCGTTGTGAAGGAATCTGGCGATTTGGATAAGCGTCAACATAAAGACGTCGCGCTTCGGTGGCGTTCCCATTAGCACGACCATACATGAAATGCATGTCTGTTAATTCTGCGTTAGAGTAACCAGCCATAGCGAAAGAAAACTTGTGCACTGAGAACAACTGTCAAATACGTACTGTTTATTTCACTAAACATCAACCAACTATTATAAGAAAATACACAACGTTTTTACAAAATAAAAAAAGGGGCTAAAAAACATAAAACATTCCATATCTCCGCAACCGTTACTTTGCGGACCCAGGTTTATTGAGACTTTTCTGCTTATTTTGGTTCATACTATTACCTCCTTGTTGTACCTGTATAATAAACCCTTTTACATAAACTAATGTAAAAAATATTTTTAAATTTCAAGTTATTACATTCACCTACTACATAAACAAGTAGTGCCTATACTCTTATTAATTAATAATAATTAATTAAAATTACTCGTACAAATATAGATATAAGTATTGTTAAAAGAAGAGAAATCAAATTTAATTCAGTTTTGAGTTAATATAAAGAATATTGACAAAATTATTAATAAATATACGTATTTTAGTAATTTTGTTGCTTGGAGAGGATTTTTTAAGAGGACGTTTTAGAAAAAAAGGGTAAGAGCCTGCATTAGCTCTATCTCTCTCGCACACGTCTGTGCGATTGCCGTTTATATAGGCAAAATGACTGTTGGACGAGTCCAGTAGTTTATTACATCTACAGTGAAAATACATGTATACAGGGTATCCCTGAAATGTATATACCAGAGAGATTCTTAAGGTCAAACTATGACGATTTACGATAATTTACTTATATGCAAAAATGCACCGTAAGGGCGCTAGACGGCGCCAAAGTTTTTTGAAAAATATCAATAGGTAATCAGTTATAAAACGGAAAAACGTTGAACGGTTAAAATAAAATTTGGTATGTGAAAATATATTGATAAAAAACTTTTCTTGATGCAATTAGTGTTAACTACCGTCTTGCACAAATGTCTTAAACTGGATACCTCAGTTAAAAAAATATTCATATATTTTTTTGTATTATCTAATTGTCACAATTGTTTTCAGGTGAATATTAAAATATTTTTAAATAAATTCTGTATCTTTCATAATTTTGATAACTCATACAGTTTAGTCACAAAAAAGTTGAAAAACGTTTGTTACATGCAGCCAACTGATAAGTTTGCGCCTTATGCAGAGCCTTATGCATTAGAAATAATCCAGGTACGAGTACCAGTTATGGGATATGACATAGTTTGTTAAATAACAAAAATAAAAATAAATAAATGTCTGCTAATGTGATAACAAGATTTAAGAAATTTTATAAAAAAAATTAAATAAAAATATGTAAATATTATATTAAATGTTCAATAAAACTTCCATTTTGAACAATGCACGTATTTAATAGATATAAAAAATTAAAATGTACCCTCTCAAGTACATTATCATTTTTTAAAGAGTCAAATAAAGTTACTATGCACTCTCATAGCTCTTCCTCTGCAGTAACCGGAGTGGCGTATACTTGAGCTATTAACGCACCCCAAAGCAATGGGATTCAGATATGGTGAACGTGGTGCCCATTGGGATGCAGCATCGTTTCCTCTACAAATCCATCTGTTTTCAAACAGTCCATGCAGATGGGCCCTAACATTTATTGTAAAATGAGGAAGAGCATCATCATACATGAACCATATTTCCCTTCTTAAAATGGCGCACAAAGATTTGATTTTTAACGGCCTAGTATTTTTTATAATGGATTCGTTTTAATATTATTTCTGAAAAGCTTTCCTAATATGTTTTTCTTTCACGTTGTTTTTTTTAACTGTTGTTGTTTAAAAATTATGAAACTTATTTGGGTTAGTGTAAATATAAGTGGAAGGTATTGATAAAAAATTTAAGCTTAAAATTAGAAGAGAACTTTTCCAAAAAATATAAGATCGACCATTTTCGTAAACTAAACGTCTTCGACTTAGCTCCCAATTTAGATAAAACATTATTTACTTGAAGAAATTTAAAGAAATTAATTAAGTAACAAGTAAAAATAAAAATCAATGTCTGATATGACCCTTATAGAAAAACTTTGCAGATAAAACTAATTCAACTGTAAATTAAATAAACTTCAGTTTACTGTTACAGAATACTATTAAAGTATTGAAACATGCGGTTTGTATAACTTTAACTTAATGTGACTATGAGAATGAAAATGAACAGAAATAATTTATTGATATGATTTGATATATGATCTCATGCCACATCCTCAATTATCAAACTAAATAAAACCAAAGTTTGTTGTTTGAAATGTATTTGTAATGTGTGAGTAAAAAATATTTCATTATTATAAATGTCTGTAACTGTTACAGCAAAAAAAAATAACTGGCAAGAAACTATCAATAATGGACTTACGGACATTACACCAAAGAAAATCCCATGACTAAACGAGCAACAGTTTACATACAGGGTGTTTCTTAAGTAATTTAATTATTATTACAAAAATCGTTGAAAAGTCTAAAAATTTTCTTAACCTCATCCGATGAAATCATATAAAAATATACTTAATGAAAATGGTTACTATTAAAATACGTATACTTAAATGCATTTTTTCATATAAATGTATTTGCTTTAATGTTGATTTTTTCTGTTTCTGTGTTGCGTTTTCAATCACAAGGTCCACTTTTTAAATTTTATATTAGTGGGATATTTATTTGAATAATAACATATAATAAGACAAACAATTAATATTTTCGCAGTCACATAGTCACAATTGCAGGATGTAGCTGTTCTGTCTAGCCGTGATGTCACAGT